GAACACAAATATTTAGGGGATCCGCGAGTCACCAGCTCTCTGCTACAGTATCCCGCCAAAAACGAAAGTGTGGCGGTGCCCCTCGCCCCTTTCTCTGCCCAATTTAGAATGTTCTGTTAATGCCTTGTTCTTCAGTGTTTACTTGCATGGGTTTTTGAATGAGCTAGGTAGGTATATATTTTGTAATCATATTGTTTCTTAGCATCAATTTGACCAACTACCTTCAACCAAAAAAAAAAAAAAAAAAAAGACGTTGGGACGTTTAAAAAAGAGATTCGTGTCATGATTCGTAATTCGTTACAGTATTTTTTCTCATAAAAAACACACATAAAACGAGAATAATTATGAATTATGATTCTGAATTCATGAATTAAACGCTTCCGTCTGAGATGAATTATCTCTTTGTCCATCCCGTTCAACTTCTACAACAAATTTTTTTAAAAAAAAAAAAAACCATTTGGAAAGAAAAAGAAGAGCAAAATTTCTTTATCCTTCTTTTTTTTTGGTTGGGAAGTGAGCGCATAATTTCTATATATCTTATAAAGCATATATAAAGTCACCTTATGAAATTACAACAAATTCTTCCGTTGTAAATTACTTTTAGTTACTTTTGTCCTCATAAATCTTTTTCATTTTACCGATTCGAATTTAAAATTTGAGTTTTGTTACAGTAAAAACTCTAAAAAATAATCACTTTTAACTTTTTTATTATATTAAATTTTTTTTATATAAAATCACATCTTAATTCAAATTAGCAAATTAAATGAGCCCTTAAATTATTCTAAAAAAAGAGTAATTTTCAGTTTGTTAATATTTTATTTTTTATTCAGAAATAGTAGAAAATATGTCAATATGAAAAGCTTAAAAAAGCATATAGGCCAATTTTTAGTTATAGAAAGTCATAACTTGTTAAGTTATAGTTCATAATCAGATAAGTTATGAACAAACTTGTCAAGTTATAGTTTATAGCTATACAAGTTATGGATAAAAATCGTCAATAACTTGTTAAATTATAGTTCATAATCAGACAAATTATAGACAAAAATAATAATTTAACCTATTTATTAATTTATATAAACTATTGACCTATTAATTTTAATTTATCTCAAATTTTAACCTATTTTCCTCCTTCTTTCTTTTCTATTATGTCAATACAAAGAAAAAGACGTGGCAATTGTCAGAATGGTGTAGAATAGAAAGTACTGTCAGACTCTCCTGAGACTCTGACCCCATTTTCACTGTCTTCGACCCTGTGACCCTTCGTTACCATTATTTTTGTTGCATTTATAATAAATTCAATTCAATGAGATAAAAAAGATATAATTAACAATTTATCTGAAACTCTGAAAGAGATATTTATATTTTAGGTTGCTTATAGAATAGCTAAAAAAAAAAAAAAACAACTTTAATATTATTTCCTAATCCTTTTCACTTAAATCAATCACCCATATTATTATTTTTATTTTTATGGCCCTGAAAATGACCTTTTAATATCATCCAACACTGCTATTTATTTGTACAATTTTCTTTTGTCTAATAATCATGGATTTATATGGAAATGAATGATTTGGAGAGCCTTTTTTTTTTTGTTACAAAGAGTTATGAACAAAAGGGAAAAAAAAACTACTTACTTTTTGCTAGAATATAAAGTTAAATCACATGCTCACACTTTGCACCAATAACATTTAATCTTAATTCATATTTTTCTTTTTCTTTAGGAATCATATTTTTTTTAATAACTATATATGTGGGTTCTTCTTTAAGAAAAATAACTTTGTGGGTCCCCTTTTTTTCCTTGCTTTAACAATTTAAGTGTAATTTAACACTTTCTTATTTCTTAAAAACAAAAGAAAAACATAAAAAGAACATTGACAACTGAAATTAATGTTAACTAAAAATTCCTGTTCCTCCAAAAAAATGCCAATATTTTAATTATTTCTCAAAAGTAAAGGTTTTATTATTACTGTTTATTATTATTATTATTATTATTATTATTATTTTGGTTTTCTCACTTCTTTTTCTGACTCTGATCTTCTCCTTCTTCTCAGTTGAAACTCAGCTTCTTTTCTCTTCTCCAAGGTATTCTTTTGGTTTTCGAATTAATCCTATTTCCTTTAAACATTAATTTTCCTTTCAATTTCATGTTTTGATGATTCATTTTGTTTCTGTTTCGTTCATTTTTTGCTCCACTTTAATATTTCTAGGGTTTTTTTTCCTCTTTTTCTTTGTTCATATCTTTTCATAATTTCTATTATTAGTCTCTTGCTCTGTTTTGATTGGCGAAACTCAAACAAACGGAAAAGAAAATTCTTTTTTTTTTCTTCTTTTCCTTCGCAGCGGAAAATAGCAGCTACTCCCATTTTTTATGTTCCCGGAAAATTTTCATTTTCCCGGGTTGTTACGGATTTTCGCATTTTAGCTCATTTATATTGAGTATTTGAAAGTAGTAATCGATATTGATGATTCTGGGTTAACTTATACTTGTTATACATATATATAATATGCATATATATATATATGTTATATTCTTTAGCACTATATGTATAATGTATTGGTTCTTTTATGTTTGGTGTATTGTTTAAAAGCTTGTGGTAATTCTACAGCTAAAATTTGAAAAGTGAAACTTTCATTCATAGCTTAATGTTCCATTGGAGATCCTTAATGGTATTCTTTCTTTGAGTTTCTCCAAGAAAGTTTAATTTTTGGACATATTTTAGAAACAATGAAAAAAAATCCAACTAAATAAGTGGATAGGGAAATTAGGTAATGGGCTAGTTCAAACAAAGTTTAACATTTTATTCTTGGGGAAATAATTTTTACATGTATTCTTTTCCATAAGAAATTGAAGATACACACATATATATATATATATATATTTTTGTTTTTATTTTATATATTTAAGTAATACCAGAATAAAGGAAAGTGCAAAACAAGAAGAATCAAAGAAGGGTTATCTTTGTGTTTTTCAGAAGTGAACAACCAAAAAAAGATCAGGATTTCACTCTATCCAAAACCAAAACCAAATCAAATGAACATCATTATATGTATGTGCTTTTTTTTTTTAATCTTTGGTGCCATCAAAATCTTTATATTCATGCAAACTGCAGGGTTGGCCGATTGTTAAAATGAGCAGACCAACCACACGCAGTAAAAATAAAAGACACAAGCAAGGGGATAACGTTGACATAACTTCTGAATTGTTAAGGTACGGGGATTTTCTGCTTTTATGCTGTTTGGTTATTGTTGTTGCTTGATTGTTTGTTCTTTATACGTTGATCGATCCCTTTTCTTTCATTATGTAGGAAAATTCACATAACAGGTGATGTATCTGATGATGAGATTAATGTGCTTTATAAGATTATGAAACCGGTTTGTCAGGGGTGCCGTGTGAATACTAAGGATAATCCGAACTGCTTTTGTGGGCTAATCCCACCTCCGAATGGAAACCGGAAACTTGGCTTATGGCAGAAGACATCGGAAATTCTTCAAGCTCTTGGCCCGGACCCAACCATCGACCTTCGTTCTTCTGCCGACTCTCCTGCAGGACTTACGAACCTTGGTGCAACATGCTATGCCAACAGCATACTACAATGCTTGTACATGAATAAATCCTTCCGTGGAGGCATCTTTTCTGTTGAACCGGATCTTTTGAAACAACAGCCGGTTTTGGATCAGCTTGCACGGCTTTTTGTGCAACTGCATGCCAGTAAAAGGGCATTTATAGACTCCTCTCCATTTGTTAAGACACTTGAATTGGATAATGGAGTTCAACAAGATAGCCATGAGTTTTTGACATTGCTTCTTTCTTTGCTTGAACGTTGTCTTAGCCACTCTAAAGTTTCCAAGGCAAGAACTATTGTCCAAGATCTCTTCCGTGGAAGTGTGTCTCACGTGACAAAGTAAGAATGATTTCGTTATCTACATAATTCTAAAGCTATTCTCCTTCTAGCTATTATGAATTTTATTTGATGCTCTTTCTTTTTACTCTTCATTGGACTCTAATTTTCCTGTTATATACGTTGCTTCTTGCTCAGATGATTGATAGTTGAGACGATTTGCAATTTCTTCGAAAAGTATCATTGTGAATATGCCTTCATATGATCAAACATTTCTACTTGCTTTATTTTTCTTCAGTTCTAATTTATTTCCTTATGTAGGTGCTCTCAATGTGGACAAGATTCGGAAGCGTCTTCAAATATGGAAGACTTTTATGAACTAGAACTGAATGTAAAGGGTTTGAAAAGTTTAGCTGAGAGTCTAGATGATTATCTTAGCGTGGAAGAGCTTAATGGGGATAATCAATATTTCTGTGAGTCTTGTAAGACAAGAGTTAATGCTACTCGCAGCATCAAGCTGCGGTTTTTGCCACCTGTACTTAATTTTCAGCTCAAGCGTTGTGTTTTCATTCCGAAGGTACTATCAATTTCTAGTATCTAGATATTGTCTTGCTTTGGCATCATCATCTACTATATTGTTAACTCAGTATCTGGACATCAGATTTTTTATGTTTCTTTTTTGCATTAATTTGTGTTAGTAGACCACTACGAAGAAGAAGATTACTACTGCATTTTCTTTCCCTGGAGAACTAAATATGGGAAAGAGGTTATCCGAGACTACTCAAGTTGAATCAACCTATGACTTATCAGCAGTGCTGATTCACAAGGGAACTGCAGTTAACAGTGGGCATTATATAGCTCACGTTAAGGATGAAAATACAGGGCAATGGTGGGAATTTGATGATGAGCAGGTCTCAAACTTAGGCCGTCACCCTTTTGGAGAAGGCTCTTCAACTTCTACTTCAAAGCCCGTTAAAACTGAGCCTGCTGTTATTCATTCAAGCATGGAACAAACTAGCACTTTAGCCAATGGAGATCAAATGGACGTTGTTCAGCAAGAATCTTGTAAACCTGCTTCTGATAGTCATACGGAGATATTCTCTTCTAGTGATGCGTATGTGTTGATGTATAATCTCAGGTGTTCCAGGAAAGATGGCGGCGCAAGTCCAATGATTTGTGATGCTAATTTTGAGGACATTGATATGATTTCCTTACATGATGGTGTTTCGCTGCCATCTCATCTTTATGAAGAGTTAAAGTCTTTGAATGCATCTTACGTTGATGCTTGTGAACAATACAAATTGAAGAAGGAAATGGAGTTGAACCGAATCTCAGAACGAAGACAAGAAGTACGATCAATTTTGTCCGAAGCCCCTGTCAGATCACCTGAGGAACCATTTTACTGGATTTCTGCAGACTGGCTCCGTCAGTGGGCTGACAACATTACTGCTCCGTAAGAGTTTAAATTTGCATTTGTTACAGTTGCTTTCTTTTTGTTTTTGAGTTTAGTATTATATTAGGCGTGTAAATTATATATATATATATATATATATATGATGACTCCAGTATTCCTCTTTGGTTTATAGTTTATGATTTCTGTCTATATATATCAGAAAAGCATAGCATGTCGAGATTAGGTAGTTCGTTGGTACACAACATAGGGTGTGTTTACTAATCAGGAATTAAAAGAATAGGAAACAAATTCCAAGAAAAAAGAAATTAAGTTTTACGAAATTAAGTTCCAGAACTCCATTAAAGTGTTTACTAATCTATTTGGGAATTAAGTTACGAGGGCAAATAAATTCCTATTATGTTGTTTACTTACATAAAAATTAAAAGGAATATATATATAATAAATGTGCTTACAAAAGTACCCTTGTGTTAAGTGAATAACTAACTTACAACAACAACAACAAATACAAGTCTTAATCCCAAATTAATTGGGGTTGGCTATATATGGATTTTAAGTGAATAGCTAACTTAAATAAGGGTTAATTTGGTAAATAGGTTAGTTAGTTCCTATTTCTTAGGGGAAGGAATTAAATTCCACAGGTAGGAGGTGGATATAAGTTCCCCCCTATCAAGGAACTTAATTCCTCATTTGTAGATGGGGTCCACGTAATCAACTACCAAATACAAAAGTAAACACAAGAAACTAAAATCAGGAATTTAATTTCCTTTCCTAAAATTGGATTCCTGGTTAGTAAACGAGCCCATAGAGTTCACTTACCATTTCTGCATTGCCATTTTTGTATTCCTTTTTGTCGTTTTATGTGTTTAAGTTTTTATGTTATTCTGCTAGCTTTTCTCAACAATTATGGCTTCTTGATCGTTGCTGTGTATTATTTTGAACATGTTTTTAATTGGCTTAAACTGTTATGATCTTTGCAGTGTTCTTGACAATACTTCTATCCAATGCTCACATGGAAAAGTCCCAATGTCAAAGGTCGGCTCCATGAAGCGATTATCAGCTAAAGCTTGGGCTGCGTTGCGTTCCAAGGTATTTGGTTTTGTAATTTTTAGTCTTATTGAACGTGGCCTTAGTTTCTTTCCCTTGGTATTCAGATTTTGGTTACTCTGAAGCGTTAAAAGTGAATTTCTGTTCCTTTTTCCTCTGACTTTTACTATAAAAGCATCTTCCTAGAATTGTTTTTTGTGTTTTGTAATTATTTTCTGGTTGTGATACAAGGTCTTCAATACTTTCACTTGAAGAAGATAGTATGAACCTTTAAGATACTATTCAAACGGAAAGATTTTGAAATTCAGTTGAGAATTAGCATGAAGTTTGTTCTTATCTTAGGGATGGTGGACTGAAAACGGAATGAGGGAAAAGATGATGCAATTACTTATCTTTTAGTGGATGTGCATGAAAATGGTGCTTCATCAATGTGAAGCAACTTGATGCAATGAAGGTTACATTTCTTGATTAGCAAGGAGAAACTTGATAATTGTTGACTCTCTGAGTTTTCCCCTATCTCTTTTTCTTTTCTCTCTTTTTTTTTTTTTTTTTTTTTTTTTTTTTTTTTTTTTTAAAAAAAAAAAAAAGGTAAGGTTTATTCTTTCTGTAGGTGGCTATAAACTTGTTTTTTTCCCTCTGTGCTTGTCCTGCTTAGTTCTGTCAATTTTTAGCTATATGGTCTTCCTTTTTAACTTATTCACACTTTTGCAGTCATTACCTATGACATTTTATTTTAATGATAAATTCTTTTACAGTAACTACTGATGACATTGTATTTTAAATGACATTCTTGTAATTCCAGTACAATGGGGTTCCAGAATTGTCCAATCATGACCACTGCAAGGATTGTCTTATGGATGGGGCGCACACTCTTGTCTCTGCTGATAGCTACAGGGATCGTAGAACATTAATGAAACAAATTGCGGAAGATGTACTTGCAGGGAGGTGCGAAGATGGAACATATTATGTTTCCAAGGCGTGGTATGGCTTCAAAGCTTTTATGCTCCCACTGCTCCGGATATGCATATTTTGTTTCCGATAGCTTTTATGCTGATGCTAATGAGCTCCTCAACTTCAGGTTGCAACAATGGTTAAAAAGAAAAATACTTGATGCTCCAACCGAAGCTGATGCTGGGCCAACAGTTTCCATAAGGTGCCCTCATGGCGAGCTTATGCCCGAGGAGGCTGTGGGAGCTAAGAGATTGCTTGTTCCTGAGAATCTGTGGCTCTTCCTTTATGGAGATGCTACTACAGTAAAACCTGATGATCCTTTGGATTGTTCGACTTTTCCTTTAGATTCAAGACAATGTTCCCAGTGTTGTGATGAACTATCTGAAGTAGCATGCATGGAAGATTATTTAAGGTCATTTTGACTTTTTTTTCGCTAATGCAGAATGACACCTTTTTTTCTTTT